ACTAATAAAAAAGCTAGTTTCTCAAATAAGGAATTCTATTTCATTTTTAGGACACTTATTATCAAATACCAAGTGAGGTTAAATTATTACAGAATAAAATTTTATGGCAAGAAGTAACATTCAACAATGAAAAGGTATTGGCGACCCAAAGAATTCTGCTCAAATATAATTTTACCTCTCAACCACATGGAATGAGGCCTCATATTTTTCCGCCTACCTTAGAGCCTGTAATTACCAAATATACACAAAGCCTGAAACCTCACTGACATTCAATATACAGGTATTAATTCACTTCTCTGTCTTCCCTTGAGAGGCAGCAAATCCCAGAACAGAATATTTACATATAGCCAAGAAAAAGTAGCAAATACGCGTTCAGAGTGAAGGCCCTTGGCTATATTTGGTATTTCTATTAAATCGGGAGACCCAACTCCTGAGGGGCTCCTATAAAACTCTATGGAAAACTTTGTAATTTAATTTTATGTCCCCAATGCCTACCATATTTTTCTGATTAAAAATATACATACAATAATGTATGTATTACATTAGCCAGCATACAATAAATGCTGGCTAAACTGAACCTCACTTGTCATCTCCCTCCACTCTAACCTTTGCTGAAGTACTCACTAAGCTTAACATAAAATAAGCATTCAAAATACTTTTTATTAAAAAGACTTGTAACTGCCTCAGAATAAAATAAATATAATATACAATTTTCAAGGTTAAAAAACCAAGATAAGTAAAAAGAAAATGCATGAACCCTTTATACAGTCCATACATGCTACTAGCTATGCATGGAGAAGTAATCTGCTCTTAAGAGGCTAAAGCAAATCATTTTTTAAGTTAAGCAATTAGTGTTTCAACTTTTCCAGTGTAGGTGTATACACAAAGAGAATCTTAAAACCTATCTGAGAACATTCTGAACTGCTTAAGTTTTTTCATTAAAATCAACCACTTCCTTTCAAAATACCCACACAATTTTAAGCAGAAAGCCAATTAACTCTAACGTTATCGGTACAAGAAGTATAAAATTCATCTAAGCGTTTGAATAAAAATACTCAGTAATGGACATATTAGTGAAAATTTTCAAAGAAGATATATTTTAAAGGGGAATCAAAAAAGAAAAAGAAAAAAAAACTGCAGTCAAATGTGCCTACTAACAACTTACAAAAAAGGATGAAGTAAAATGAAATACATATTTAAGTGCATTATTGAAATGTTCAAATACATTTAGAATTATTCATAATACTTCATATTAATAATCTATATAACAGATTTCTAAAATTAATCAGAATTTATTTACAAGGACAAAAATCTCAATACATTTGACTTGAGAAGAAACACAAGGGGAGGCTGCACATTCTCATAAAAATCTTACATCACCTCTCCTATTTAGTTAATCTGGCAATGTCTAAGAAGACACGAGCACAGCGCAGTAAGAAGAAAATAATGATCTAGTGGAAAGTGTCTGTGGCTGTGCTTTATTTTTTTTTTTTAATTTACTGACTACTATGGAATAACCTACCATGACAATTAGTACCTGAGCACAGTTATAAACACTATATTGTACATATATTCAAATCACAGTATAAGCTTATTCTGTACAGGCTGTTAAACAGACTGACTGCTAACACTACAAAAAAAATTGCTACAAAGGAGTAAGTATAACCTCCCCATATAAAATTAGGCTTTATTTGCTAAACAAAAGCTTTACTTGAAAAGTAAAAGTTTAAATTTAAACGGAAAGTAAAATGACGCATAACAGATTCCCAACCAGTATGGGCAAACAAATATTACTTAAAGCAAACTATCAAAAATGGAACCTCAAGTGAGACATGGTAGTGCATGTCTTTAACCCCAACACTCTGGCTGGTTGAGGCAGAAGAATCAAAAGTTCAAGCGCAGTTTGGGCAACTTATTAGCAAGACCCTACCTCAGAAATAAAACATTAAAAAAGGGCTGAGGTATAGCTCAGTAGTGGAGTATCCATGGCTTCCCCAGTAATATGAGAAAAAAATTATAACTCAGTTATACAGTACAGTAGTGAAGTGTATTTTTCCAGACTGGAACACTTTTAAACACAATTCTCATAATGACCTGATTAGTGTAAGCATTTATCAGAAACATTTATTTCTAAGGCAATGGAAACACCAATTTTGCAAACTGCAAAAAATGTTAAATTACACAATTTTTTGTAGACCAACCATTTTTTCTCAAGGCTTATTTTTTTAGCAGTGCTATTTTTCTAAAAGAATCAAAATGCATCCAGTGTTAGAAATCTGGATTAGCAATCATAAGAATGAAATTTTGCTTCACACAATAATACTCTGTCCACTCTGTCAAAAACTATATTCTAGTTAGGACATTTATTTATAAAATTTTAATCATATATAACATTTGCCTGCCAAGATTTTCCTTTAAAACTATGCTATATGTATTTTAATTTAGTATGTTATGCCACTTTATAATTTTCTCCTCCCTTGGTAAGTTTAAAGTAGCAAAAAAAAATAACAAGAGAAAACTAAAAGATGATCCCAGAATTTTACTCCTCAAATATATACGCTCTTTTACCAGTTCATTAATATAAATGCATGATATAACAAAACTGTATGACAACCCATTCAAAAGTTACTGCTACTGAGGTCTTTATATACATTAACAAATGAAGTAAAATGTTACCTAAATTAAAAAGACACATTAACATTACTTTAGAAATTAGAGTTCTAACTTACTACTATAAAAGTCTAATTTTTATATAAATAATAAATTCTTATTCAAAAATTTAATCCCAGCACTCTGGGAGGCTGAGGCAGGAGGAAAACAAATTCAAACCCTGTGTGAACAACTTAGCAAGACCCTATCTCAAAATTTAAAAGCAATAAAAAATAGGGTGAAGATTTAGGAATTTCAGTGCAAAGGTCCTGAGTTCAATCTCCACTACTGCAAAAAAAGAAAAATTCTCGTAATGAAAAATAAATTTTCTTCCATACTCTTTTGTAGTACCAAGTTCATACGGTTAGTAGAAGCGTTACACCCAAATTCCTAAGTCTTTGGCACAAGGTTCACCATTATTACAAGGCTCTGGTTTCACAGATGAAACAGGCTGTGGGAAAAAAAATCTAGTTAAAAACCCAAAACAAAGACATTTCTAGCCTACTCTTCCCCAACAGAAAAGCAGCAAAGTTACAATACCAAAGCACAAACTGTGAAGAGCACCTATCAAAGAGAAATTTGCACCAAGCTGGGAAGGCCCAGGGGTTCATTTCATTCGCCTGCACACCGCACAGCTCTCGTAGTTCAAGGCACTTCTCTGACGCACCCAACCAAAGAGCAAGCATGACTGAGAACACCAAGATGCTCGGGAGATGCGAGAAGGCCGAGGAAGGGTCTCAGAACTACCCACAACATCCACAGGGACATGGAAATTATGAAAGTCTTCAAAGGAGAATTTTTCTCTTAGCTTTTGAGAGCTTGTTTTACCTCAAAGCAAAAAAAATGAAATGTGGAGGAAACAACGCTGAAACACAACCAGGGTCGGAGTACACAGCCACTTCAAGCATTCGAGACAGCTCAGGCTCAGTCACCACACTCCTTCCCACATTATTCTTCCAACAGTGCTGGCAGAAAACTCGCTGTTATTCGAACAGGAGAAACATTCAAACAGGACAGGACATACAAGCTATAGAAAGATACTCTAAGAATAATTCACAGTACAAAAATAAGTTTTAAAAAGATGAAGAACACATAATATATGAATAAGAAAGGAAATAGTTTAAGATCTATTATACCACATACAACAAAGAAACTATCCCTGAAAAAGAAGCGTGAAAGAAAGACAAAGAATGAAAGCAAAGACGAAAACAACAGGAGAAAGTCAAAACGTAAGCCTGCAAAGCTCAAGGTAATGGAGAATGGCAGACTCCCACACAAACAAAAGCATCCTAGAGACCACAGAACCAGGATAGCTGGCAATATACATTCGTAGAAAACTGTACAGCAACATCTACAGAGCTCTAATGTATTGTCTGTCAATCCATAGTGCAGCAACAGGCCAATATCACTTTAAATACTTAATAACTCTCCGACTATTTCAGATATCTGTAATTTGGGGGTAGGAGGTGAGAAGAGTGAACCAAGTCAAACAGACAGAAGCCTAACTGTGAGAAAATTAATTTTAAAATAAGTATGGTTTAAAACTAAGAAAATTTTCAGCACAGAACAAAGTGAGTTCGATTCCCAGTACCAAAAAAAAAAGTTTTCAATGCATTTACATTATTTGAAGATAAAAACTTTCTAAATTATACTATTAAAGTAGGACAAGCCAAAACCCAACAAAAAGCTATGTATACATATAAAAATGTAAACTAATTTCAGGGAGAGATGAAATTATTTTAAAATGATAGCAAAAAAAATCTATCACGTTGAGAGTAATCCACCAGGACAAACCAGAGATGTTTCAACACTATAAAACTAGATCAACACTACAAAATCTACTAAGATGACAATGTACCCTTTAATATTATTTAAAGCTTCTGGTAACTCTACAGACAGTATTTTTTTTTTTTTCCCCTGAAAAAAATGTCTTAACACCTAGTAAAAATCACAGCTGGATTGTTTTTTCAGTGACTTGGTAAGCTTTTTCTAATGCATGAATGAAAAGTTATTTGAGATAACTCAGGAGGAAAAAAATAGAGAAAAAATAGTCTACAAATATTAATATCTAACAAAAATAAAACACTAAGTAAAAAAACACTTCTCAATAAAGAGTCCCAAAATAGAGAAGAATTCAGTATATGTCATGGATGACATTTCAAAAATAAAAGATGTATAATTCAACAAAATTTACAGTCATAAATCTACCTTTCCATTACGATGAAAGGTGAGAAAACCAGATTTCTATGTCAGGCCTTAATAACAGCTCAATCAAAAATACAATTGTAGAAAAATGAATCCATCAAAGGTACTAGAAAAAATAATGATTTTATGTTGTAATTATCTTGTAGTGAGGGAGACCTTTCAAACAAAAGCCTATCAAGAAGAAAGCTGGGTAAGTTTGAATACATAAACACAAAATTTATCTTCTCAAAAGTGATCTAAGAAACGATAAACTAGGAGTCAGAAAAAGTACTTCCCATGCATGTGAGAATTATTACGAGGACTAATTTCCTTAGGAGAAATATGTATGTGAGTATATATTTAGATAGATGCACGCACACGCACAATATGTCAATGATACAAGTGCCCAGGAAAACAATAAAGCAGGGCAACAAGAGAAAGCCAGGGGAGAGAACTGTGCTTTCACACAAACTGGTCAGACAAGGAGTAGGGTGGGTGTACATCACATCCCAAGGTTGAAAGTAAAGTGGGAACTGAACTGCAGTCTGACGAATGCTCAGCTGCAGGAGACAAGGAAAAGGAAAAGGAGGGGCTGGGGATTTAGCTCAGCGGCAAAAGCGCCTGCCTGGCAAGCGCAAAGTCGTGAGTTCGGTTCCCGGTACCAGAGAAAAAAAAAAAGAAAAGGAAAAGGAGAGTGCTGCAGAAGCAGAGGAAGCTGTGTGTGAGAATTTAGACAGAATACATACAGTTCATAAGCTGCCTTCGGAAATAAAAGGATTTACAGAGGGAGACACAAAATTAGACCTACATTTTACAAAAACGACTCCGGCTATAGTGTATAAGAATTTTAGGTGGAAGTAAACTGAAAAAAAAAAAAAAAATCAAGAAATCAATTAGATGTCTCTATAATTCTATCAAAAGTAAAAGGCCTTTAAGGAAAAAAAAAAGGCAATAAAAATAGAGAATAGCGGGCAAAAACAGTCCAGTAGATCCAGCAGATCCTCACTATTGATGGATTCCAAAACTGTGAATTCACCCCCTCTGTATTAGGAACCCCCAAATTCCTGCAAAGTACTGTGGCAGTCACTTGCAGACACCCAGAGTAAACAAGGAGAATCACCAACGTGTACGTCCCCAGGCGGGTTGAACAAGGCAACACTCTACCCTCTTGCTTCAGCTCTCATACTGTAAACAAGTACACTTTTCACGGTTTATTTAGTGTCATGTTTCCCTATTTTTGTGGTTTTTGTTAGTAATTCTGCTGCTTAAAATGGTTTGCAAGTACAGTACTGAAGTGTTGTCTGGTGTCCCTAAGCACAAGGTAGTGGTGATGCGCCTTAGAAATAAAAATGCATGTCAGATAAGGTATTTCTGTACTACTGTTCATGAGTTTTATGTTAATGAATCAATGATATGTAATCATAAATATTAAATAATGTATCTTTATATAAACCGAGACACACATAAAACAGGATTATATAGTGACAGAAATGTAACCAGATGCTCACAGGAACCTAACCCTGTATTTCCTATAACAGCAATGTTTCAGGGTTTGCAATGACTTTATTAAATATAGCTATCCCACCCAACAAGAATCAACTCTATGTGAATGTGTATGTTTGTGCATGCAAACATTTATGTATTTATAAGGTAGAAATAACAGGAACAGCAATCAATTACAAGTAATTGCTAAAGGACAAAGGACTAACAATGCTAGGTTTCTGATTTTGGCAACTGAAGGATAACGAACTAACAATAAACATAGGAGGAAGAGGTAATTTGAATGAGGACAAAGATGCCAACTGTGAAGGGTAGTGTTCTACGTGCCAGGACGTGTTAAATATATGTATATCTGACCAGACCCACCTTCCCCCTTTGAGGGTAAGAATCGTAATTTTGTTCACCTTGGATATCTTCCACATATAAAGTGCTCTCCTTTAAGTCATACAATATACATCAGTGTACTCTTATCAACTCTTTTACCTTCCACTATCATCTCTGCAATCATCCATATTCAACATTACCTATACAATAATGAATAGTATTTCTATGGGAGTCCCACAAAATGTAAAAATAAAAAAATAAAAATATTACCCTGTGCAAAACAACAAATGTCTTAGAAGAAATTTTTTACCAGATAGTTTTTAATGTTTACAGAAACAAGGCAGTGTCTTCAGCATAAACTGTCCAAAGACCGTTCCGAAATACCGTGTTTATAGAGAATTAGAACACATACATTGTTTTGTTTTCACACTTGACTTAAGAAGATCTTAGAATTATACTATCTCTTACTGATGGGCCAGGACCTTCTATAAAAATGCACATATACAACTCTTTTACAATTGTCTGTCTTTATATACCATTATTTATATAAATAACAGAAAACAATAAGCTACTGTAAAACCAATTTTATAATCAAATATATACTTCTGTGAACAAAACTGAAAGCTTGCTGATACAGTTTTTGCAATATACAATGGTCCAATATAGAATCAAAGTCAATTTACAAGGTAAATAATCACGTAAGAATCCATTATTTTTCTCTCAACTGTATGTTCATCTTAAGTGCTTCTTTCCACCTGCAAAGGAAAAAGCACCTTGCTAGTTTTAGCCTCAGTATGATAGTTGTATGACTTCCCACTGAGTAGTAAAACTTAAAACATAAGTACTGAGAATTATTACCATTTCCACGCTAAGAAAGCAGGTAAAGTCCAAAAAGGGAAAAGTCACAGCTAAAGGAAGGAAAATAGGTCAGAATGCCAGCTCCTGGAGATGAGGGGCAAAAATGACAGAAGTATTCTATAAAGAAATGTAACCCTGGTCCATGGCAATTAACTTTAACAAAAACCATATCCACTCAACTAAAGACTAGAATGCAACAAAACATCCACGGACATTAGATCACTTAAAGAACAAAAAAGTGAAAGGCAAAAAAGATAATTTTAATGTCCTTTTTATATCAATAATATAATTATGATATTTCTATTCCTATAATATTAATGCATTTGATCATAATGTTGATAAAGTAGCTTTGCATCTCAAAATGGATACAAACTAGAAAAGTAAGCCAAAACACTTAGCAGACCTGAGCTATCAAGACAGGAGCCAGTCCCCAACAGCAGGTGGTGCAGAACATACATTCAGTGCAATCACTGTCACAAAGGGTATATTTATAGGCAAAGAGGCCCTTGTCTTTTTCCCAAGGGCCAAGGGCCAAGGGTAGGAGGAGGAAGGGTCTTCTTGGTCCCGGCCTATGAATCTCAAAAAGTGACATCCCCTTAGTCAACAGGGCAAATTTTTGTCAGGTGCATGCCTGACAGGCCAGCAGCCAGGCAAGCAAAGGGAAGCAGAAAGACTGAAAACATTTAAATATTGTTGTTTTCTCTCATCACTCTGTAATATAGAATTTCTCCTCCACAGAAAAAAATCTCGTAAGTGGCAGCTTCAATCATAAACAGCCAACAAAGTGAGGCCCAGTTCATTCTACAAAACCTGCTTGATGGCTTTAAAAGTAATATATTTTCCACTTGAAAATTAGTTATAAAAGAAGGTAAGGCAATAGTACCACTATTCAACTTTATGTGGGTTAAGATTTGTGGATTTGTGCATAAAGTGGACCACTTGTGTAAGACTTTATTGGGAAAAAAACTTTATTGGGAATTTTCACCAGTTACAAACTCTTAGAATATAATTCACTTCTAAACTGGAGACTGCCTATACATAAATCTGGTTGATGAATCAAACACTAGTACATAGTTCAAATTTACTAAATTGATCAAGGTTCAAGACTAGAAAAACTCAGCAACTGGGGGTAATTCAAAGTTTAAAATCAATCATAAAATACAATTTGCAATTGTTATAATCACCTAAGCATCTATAGTATGCGCTCTGAAATTTTTTTTTAAAAATGGGGACTAGTAATGCAGCATAGTGGTAGAGAAGTTCACCTACCATGTGTAAAGCCCTAGGTTCAAATCCCAGAACCAAAAACTAAAACATAAAAATAAAAAAGACATCACAAGAAACAAGAAGTATTTGGTCATAAACAACGAAGATACATGCATCTTAACTACATCTTAACTATTCCTACCGAGATATAAAAACATGATACAGCTACTCAAGAGGCTGAGACAGGCTAATCATACTAAGTTCAAGTCCAGCCTGGGCAACTGAATGAGAGTGTATCAAAGTTTAAAAAAAAAAAGTGCTGGGGTATAGCTCAGTAGTATAGCACTTGGCATAGCTTGTGAGAGGTCCTGGGTTCAATCCCCACACCAAAAAAAAAAAAAAAAAAAAAAAAAA